GCGCCGCACACTGGTAGGAGCTGATCCAGATGCAACGATGGGCTTCCTGGTCCATGATATCGGTCCCCAACGATCGCTACAGCACGTCGTGGTACCTCCTCTACGGTGCTGACACTGGTGGCAGGTCGGGGAACCGGGAGGAGGACGTGGCGCCGTGAGAGGATTCACTGCGACCTCGGGCTCGAGATCGCTGCACGTGGCGGCGTGAATCCGCGCTTCTAATCGTCATCTGGATCTGGCCATTTGGGCGGCGGGGCGGTGCCAGAGTGGACGCAGGGCGTGCCGGCGAGGATGCGGGGTGCAATTTAGGGTTGCGGAATGGATTGGGCGGCACCGGAATGGAATGAGGCCGAGCGGTGGGGAGAGAGCTAGATTTTACTCGCCGAATGGGCGACTGAGTAAATATAAGGGTTGGGGCCGACAATATAAATTTTAATCCTTTAAGGTCGATAAGGGATCAGCTAGGTGCAATTTAGCTATTTAAAACCGTGTTTTACTCCTCTACTGTTTTTCAAGGGATCGGTTTGAGATGTTCTAAGAGTCACTTGTAGTATTCTACTTGCTTCCAACAAATTTTTGCCTGACATTTCTTATATATTAGACTCATCATGCTTTCATTTTCAGGGGCTAGCTTATCATCTTCGGTCAAGCTGAGAAGTTGACCACTTTGGTTGTGCTTTAATGCAGACAGCGACGAACCAATGAGTTTGCTTACAAGGTACTCCTACCGCTGATAAGCCTATTTTTCAAGTACGTGAAAGATAGTGACAGCTTCAATAGTCATTCTTGTAACTTTAAGAGGGACGTGTGCTGCAGATGTACACGTTCACTATGCTTGTGTCTATAATACAAATAAGTACAAACAAGTCAAAAGTGCTTAACGAATGGAATTCAATCAAAGACTGGACTGAAAACAGCTCGCGTTAAACTGAATTCAGAGGACGAAACACCCCAAAATGTGGAAAAAGAATATTGTCCTAGCAAATCAAATTAAGGCGAACCAATCACAGCACCTCGATCACCCGGCCACACATCCCAGCCGTTGTACGGTACTTGGAGGTGGTACAATCGGCGTGGTGTCCAACCAATTTGAACTGTGGCAGATGGGGTGCTTTATTGTCGGCATTAACTTTGTTGCAAAGTCTAATGAACTGATAGCAGATGAGGAGGACGACAAGGACATGTGTTCAACCTCCGCTGCCACACCTCTCCACGTATGGGCATCTTCAACGTATTTGATGCATCGGGGCAATTGGTGCTACCGGTGCACCAGACCCTGTTGCACACTAAAAAATGTTTGAAAAAATCTGGAAAAAATTAGTGCATTGACACAACCTCAATGTATGTTGTAAAAAAATCAAATTAAAATTCGAAACATTGCACGAGATATAAAAATAACAAATTTGACATTAATGTGCTAATGGGCCAAAACTGAAGCCCAACTTGTGTTATGTACTATTCAGTGTCAAATTTGTCATTTTTGTATCTCGAGCAGTGTTTCAAATTTTGTGACAATATACATTGATGTTGTGTCATCGCACTAATTTTTTTCAGATTTTTTTGAACATTTTTTAATGTGCAAGGAGGACTGGTGCACCGGTAGCACCAATTGCTCTGGTGCACCAGATACATCCCCATTCAACCCCAACCCCTAAAACGGATACAATATTTATTCATGAACTTTTCTAGACCAGTCTCACCATCCAACCATGTCCCATGAATGTCTGATAATATTTTTAAGCCTGCAACATTTATAAGATTCATCCATACAATATTTTGATGCTTTTTCATACAAAAATCACTCCGTCTGTTTCAAAATATAAGGTGTATTAGTTTGTTAAGGTCAAACATTTTAAGTTTGACCAAATTTATAGAGAAATATATCAATATCCATAATATCAAACCAGTATCATTAGATTTATCATGAAATAAATTTCCATATTTTACGTATTTGGTATTGTGGATGTCGATATTTTTGGCTTTGAAATTGATCAAAGTTAAAGAAATTTGACTTTACAAAAAATAATACGCCTTATATTTTGGAACCAATGGAGTATTTGGTTTGGCAAGTTGGGGAGATGATGGAGTGTTTTTTTTATTTTTATTCATAATGCAGTGTTTTGGTGGGCCTTTTCGCGGTGTGAATCTGAGTTATTTGTTAATCAACCCATAATTATGTGGGAAAATTTTCTAGGTCGGTGGCCACATGTATTACGTTGATGCTACAGTATACATGTTGGTGCTTCTTTTTCTAGTGGTGAGAGGATGCACGGAATTGATATGTTTTTATATGTCGATTGCTGCCGATTGATTTGAAAAATCGTTGACCCGATCAAAATTGTGAACCAAAATTAAAATTAATCCAATGGGAGAGCTCCAAAACTAGGGAGCATAATGAATTAAAAGAATTAAATGAGAGAGCTCCTTGAGAAATTGTTAACCCGGTCAAAATCGGGTGACCCAATTTTATTGATGGTGAGGCCTTAAAAATTAGAGAGCATAGTGCATTTATAGATAACATGTAAATATTTCTAGTACAACAATAAAATTCTGAGATAACCGGATGGTCAACGAGTTGGTCATCGATTCCAAATTCATCGGTACTAGAGTTAGAATCGGCATATGGCGTCCCACACATGGTGCCCCTTGAGCTTCATTCAAAATGAATGACACTCCCTCGGTCATGTTGTACATCACGACCGTCCATGCAAACTACTCCCTCCATTCCTAAATATAAGTATTTTTTGAGATTCCACTATAAACTACATGCGGATGTATATAGACATATTTTAGAGTGTAGATTCACTCATTTTCCTTCGTATGTAGTCCATAGTGGAATCTCTAAAAAGACATATATTTAGGAACGGAGGGAGTATATAACATTATAGTAATATTGCGATCTCGATGGTTGACGAGCCCAATGTTCATATTATCTCCACTCGGTGAATCGCGCTGCAAAACTTCATGACGGAGTTGTAGATGATATATCATCAATGTGATATCGAGTTCACATTGCGTTCATGGATGACATGCACATCGTAGGGCGCAAAATTATTTTGCTCATGAAACGAAGCATGCACATGCTGCCAAAAGGTCAAGCTCCTTTGACTCATGCCTACAAAGTACAAAGTTACGGTTGTTTATATTTTTGAGCATGAAATTCATTGATACAAAAGTCACCTTTTGGATGTGATGGGACTCCGGTGAGACCATATTCTTTCCTTGAAAAAACCAGTGAAAAAAGTAAGTAAAAATTGTTTCAAGACACTTTTGGTTATGAAACTTTTTTTTTTGAAAGGTGGTTATGAAACATTTTAATCCATGAGCTTGTGAGGAATGCAAGTTTGTCATCGGTACAGGTTTGGCCCTGTCCGAATCACACGTTCTCTCCGTAAAACTTGTGAAGGGACAAGAATTTAGAAAGGTCGGGTCGTTTGGGTGTTCCTCTTGGGTCGGTGGCGCAAACATGACGGTGTAAACAAGCAGGCGATAATCCTAACAACGACTAAAAAGGAAAAATATCCTGCCCTAAAAAAGATTATCTTATAGCAAGCTAATTAAGGCAAACCGAGTTATTTTATAGGAGGTCAAACGCGCAAACATAGCGATCCCCTTGAAGATCATCCCAGCGAAGCTAATCTATCTTCTTCTTTTTTTTTAGTACTCCCAGCAAGCTAATCTTCGCCAAGGAAAAAAAAATCAAGGCATATCGACCGTTCATCCATCTGTCGCCTGGTCGGATAGGTCGCTTCTTCCAGCAGTCCAACTGTCCAAGCAACGAACTGGTTGTAGGTTGGCAGGTACTCCCTCCGTTTGAAAATACTTGTCATTTTAGTGACAAGTATTTTCGGACGGAGGAAGTATGAGATACCATGTGGCGTACGGGCTGTGCCTCGCCGAGTCGCTATGGGATGCAGGTAGACGGTAGGCCGGTCAGCCATAGTGAATGCGTGGAGAGGTTTATTTGGTGGGTTCGGTCTGTTGGAGCTCGACTTGGCAGACATCCGGGCTTTTTGCAAGCCATTTTTAGTTATGAAACATTTTAATCCACGAGATTGTAAGCAATGCAAGCTCGTTATGTTCTTCCTTTTTGCGAGATAAGTTTGTTTCACCCGTAAAAAAAATGATAAGTTTGTTCTGGTTCAATCACTTTGGCCCTGTCCGAATCACACGTTTTCTCCGCAGAACCTCTGAACCCACAGGAATTCACACAGACGAGGCCGTTTGGGTGTTTCTCTTGGGTCGGTCCAACGCCGCAACGCGCAAACAGCACGCCGTACTCATCAGGCGGAAGATTATCCTAGCACCGACTACTAAAAAAGGATTATCATCCTGCCCCAAAAAGAAGATTATCCTGGCAAGGACACGCTATCTTTTCAGTTTTGTCATGTCGGTTCTTACGTGACTTGTACTTTGTTCTTTATGATATGAATGAGATACGTATTACCATGGAAAAAAAATCGGTCGCTGGTCGGCCGCGCTGACCGGATGCGATCAACGGGCTCGACAAATCTCCTCTCCGGTGCGGTGCGACGCCGTCCTCCCCCGGGTCGCTCCAAGTGGATTGCATCCCGAGTCCCGGGTCCATCCAGCCAGTAGGACCAGGCGTAGTAGTATAACTCCAGTGGGTCCCATCACGACGTGGGGGCTGCGGGCGCCTCCACCCGGCCAGATCCGCCGCCAGCCGCCGGCTCACTGACGCCGCGGGCCCGCCCTCCCCTGCTCCCCTCTGCGCCACGCCACCCGTGTGCGGGCAAGTCACCTCGCCTCACCACCGCGGAGGAGCTGGGGGTTAGCGGGCCGCGGGATAAATAGAGGACCGGGCACCCCGGCCGGCGGCGACAACCGCACCGCACCGCGCCCACACACGCCACGCAGCGCCTCGGTACCATCGCGTTCCTGCTCGTAGCTTCGTGTCCCGTCCCACCCCCGGCGGCCCGCAGGATCCGTCCGGCTGCGGTGATTTGATTTGATTTGTGATTTCGGTTCGTGCGGCGGCGATGGGGATGCTGTCGCGGCCGGAGGAGGTGCCGGCGCTGCTCAGGCTCAAGCTGGCGGCGGGGCGGATCAGGCGCCAGATCCCGCCGCAGGAGCACTGGGCCTTCGCCTACGACATGCTGCAGCAGGTCTCCCGCAGCTTCGCGCTCGTCATCCAGCAGCTAGGCCCCGAGCTCCGCAATGCCGTAAGCACGCAATTCCCGCTTCCCCTTCCCCTTCCCCTCCGGATCCCCTCCGATCCGAATCTCTGAAATCTCTGAAACATCTACGGCCGCTGATGTTGCTCTGGTTCTCACCCTGCAGGTCTGCGTCTTCTACCTCGTGCTCCGGGCCCTGGACACCGTCGGTCAGCACCCTTATTACCCCTGCTACTGCGCACTCTGTTTGTTTGAATTCATTTTGCCGCGTTTGATGGAATCTTCTGGGTCAAGTTCATCGCTGCCTTCCTTTTTAGTACTTGTACCAACCACTGTTTGCTCACTGCGATCAATATGTATAACTGCAGAGGACGACACCGCCATCCCTAACGAGGTCAAGCTGCCCATCCTTCGGGACTTCTACCGCCACATCTACAACCCGGACTGGCTCTTTTCATGTATGCATCCGATCTCTCCCCCTCTCCTTAACAAAAAGCTGTCCTTGTGCTCAACTCAACTGTGCTCTTCTTCTTGTTCATCTAATCATGTGTGTACTTTGGCCTTCAGGTGGAGCAAACGACTACAGAGTGCTCATGGATAATTTTAGGCAAGTCTCCACGGCTTTCCTGGAGCTAGGCGAAGGGTAATGATTCCTGTTCCTCAGCTTCCTAGTTCCCAGTGTGCGGTTGAAAACTTGCGCCTTCGTTGTTGTTTTGTCAAAGTCCTCGGGGGACACATCGATCATTTAGTCAGCACTGACGACACTTTATGAAAGTAAACGCAAGACTTCTTTAAATATGGACCTTTTATTGACGATCATTAGTGAAATTGTCATGTCAGTCAGGTTTGTAAGGGTGAAGTGAAAAAAGAGGAAGTAAAATGCTTATAGTTACACTTACAGTAGAACCAGACAAAGAACTGAACAGTCGGATGTACTTGTATGCCCTGAAGGTTTTCTTTATTGTTCTCAGAATCATAAGCACTAGAGCTTATGCCAACTTTTTGCTTGTTTTGTGTCGAGTATTTCTTCCAGGTGGTATAAATGGCACACCCTCTCATGTTTTATTATCTGCATGCCATTTGTGCAGTGGCACTTTAATTTGTGAAGCCATGTATTTTGAGAAAACATTTTACTACACTAGACACGTTTTGCCATCTAGCAGATGTTTATATGCAAGAAAGCAAATGTTACATATTTACTGTCCGTTTTCAGAACCAGGCTATTAAAGTCATCGTAGTAGTATTTCACATGTTGCAAATGAAGCTTTCTTTTCCGCGTTTGCTTTTTCATCAGACACAGTTTGTCCATTAAGTGCAAGTAAGTTCTTTTGAAACCTGCAGAATATAATTATCATTCTTTTGTTTTCAGATACCAAAAGGCTATTGAAGAAATCACTAGGCGAATGGGAGAAGGAATGGCTAAATTTATATGCACGGAGGTCTGTTAATCTAGATCACCCAATATATACAAGTTTTTTTTTTCTTGCAGTCAAGTTCATCAGTGCTTTCCTTTACGTAATGTTTGGTCACTATCAAATTTCTATTATTGGTTGTCATAGCAATCTGTTAATGTTTGGTTACTCTACATAAGGAAGATGATTGGGAGCATTGTGGCATAGATAAATGTAGCTGTCACATTAATAATGACAAACACTTTGCCATGACTTTCTGATGTACCACAAGAACTTTGATACAACCAAACTTTCCCTTGGTGACTTGTGGTCAACAGAAAATATGCCACATGATTATCTCGATCTGGACATTATGACTAAATAGCTATTTGATATCATATTTTCTTTGGGTGTTGAGATCTGTGAATAGAAGTGATACATGTTTAACTTGCTTCTGGTTATTAATTTATTTATTGAGTTTGATACTGTTATTTGTTTGAATTAATTTGGAACAACTTTATTTTGTAGGTTGAAACCATTGATGACTATGATGAGTACTGCCACTATGTAGCAGGGCTAGTAGGCTATGGACTTTCTAGGCTCTTTCATGCTACTGGCACAGAAGATCTGGCTCCGGATCATCTTTCAAATTCAATGGGTTTATTTCTACAGGTAGGTTTAGTGCAATCAAATTTCTGTACTTGAACTATCATGACAAAATAAGAATTTGTTTTTTTACATTTAACTCTGTAACTAATGTTTGGACTTCCACCTGCAGAAAACCAATATAATAAGGGATTATTTGGAGGACATAAATGAGATACCAAGGTGCCGTATGTTCTGGCCTCGGGAAATATGGAGTAAATATGTCGATAAACTTGAGGTACATCAACCCATCAACAAGGGAATTGCATATGAATCATATTGTAAAATTAATGCAAAAATAATTAAAATATTTGATTGAACAGTCAATAATGAAATCTAAATGTCCAATCCAATCCTTTCACCTTTGCTGAAAAGTCTACTCATCCCTTTATCACAACTTTTTTTGTTGAAGTAGCACCTGCAATTTTCTGCTCCACAATAATGCTTTTTTTGTTCTGGGATACAAATCAGGATTTAAAATATGAGGAAAATTCAGAAAAGGCCGTGCAGTGCTTGAATGATATGGTGACCAATGCTTTGATCCATGCCCAAGATTGCCTTCAATACATGTCAGCATTGAAGGACAACTCCAATTTTCGATTTTGTGCAATACCTCAGGTACACTGGTGCTAGTTTTTCCTGTTACAGTGTTCAGTTAAAATGTCCTGTTAAGAGTTTCACTGTCTATCAGGACTAAATAATGTCTTTGCAAAACACTGCCTAACAATCTAGTGGTATATAACTGAAACTTGCTCATAGCTCAGAATAGATTTATGGTACTAGCCATGATTTATGATAATTGAGTCTTCATTATTTTGGTTCCTGGATGTAATTGGTGTTGGTAGGTGCCAAGGATTAAAGATAGGCATACCATGTTTGAAATTGACGTATTACATTCTGTGGCAATCAGATGATAAGTTTTATCCATGGGCACAAGGTTGTAACTTAAGGATTGATCTATACCAGCACACAATTTTCCTTCAGACCTGTTCTGCTTCCTTTTTTGTATACATACTCAAACATTTGTACCCTTGCTAGTGGAAGTAGTTGCTACTCAAGCTAGTTTTCAGCAATGATAACATAAACCTTCTGTTACAAAACACTAGCTATTTTGCAATGTTAATATCTTTCATTGTGTGTCATGGCTGATTGGCCTTCTAAGTATTGAATTGGAGATATTTGATATTTTGCTTTGTTTTTACCATCTTCGTCAAAGTTCAATAGCATTCCTAGACCCTAGTTATACAGTGGTGGGTGCTATGATTTGACTTGCCTTTTTTGTGTTGAAGTATGGATCTTCCATCTAATCTTGAAACAACTTTATTTACCACATATTTTCAACTGTTTGTCTTTTCAGATAATGGCAATTGGGACATGTGCTATTTGCTACAATAATGTGAAAGTCTTTAGAGGAGTTGTTAAGATGAGGCGTGGTAAGACATATTTAGTTCAAGTTGACAAGCTGTACTAGCCTACAATTTACCAGAAAATACCCGTTCGATCACCTCTTTACACTATGTTTAGGAATTTAATGTGGATTAATTATGCAGTACTGTACTTCTTTATATCACATTTGTACGTATGGTTGTTGTATGATTAGGAATCAACACGACAAATCACATCATGGAGTGCTTCGATGTTCCTTGGCATCAGAAAATACAATTGCTACCTTTTAGTTTAATTTGTAGTTCCCTAATTTTATATTATTTCCCAAAGTATCATAGGATCCACCTTAGCCATTATGATTTAGTAGTTATTATGACCATTCTTATTTTGTGTGTGGGTGGGTGGGTGGGTGGGGGTGATCAACACAAAGTGACTCGCGGTTGTGCGTTCTTCTTGGACAGATGAGTTAACATTTGAGTAGAAGAACCTCAGTTTCCGTAATCAGATAAGAAGAAGCAAACTATAGTTTGCTTTTATTGTTGTGCTCTTTCTGCCAAGACTGTTATTATTCTTTTAACCAACGGCTACCTTTATTTAGTGTATTGAATAATTTGCATATTTCATTCATGTGTAACTTTCTATTTTTTCTGACCTGAGCGCAACCTAACATGTACTCCCTATCTCAGGGCTCACTGCACGGGTGATTGATGAGACAAAATCGATATCTGATGTCTATTCTGCTTTCTATGAGTTCTCTTCATTGCTAGAGTCGAAGGTATGTTCTGGAGTATGGATGCAAAGGAAAATGGAGTCTAGTCTAGCATACATATAATTGAACATTCAGATATTTTGTCCTGTTACACAAAAAATAGATATACTTGTTGGATAATGTTTTCATTGTTTTGGCTAAGGCAGTCCTGTAGATTTAGGGATCGCAGCTTAGTATGGCTTGCTTTTGAGCTCAGAAATCCATAAGTGGGTGGCTTTGCTTCAAGATGATGGGGTGCTAAGCTCTTAACTTCATATCTGTTTGTATAAACTTGACATTTTCCTTTTTGACCATCTGATAGTTTTGCTCCAAGCGGCAAAGTTTAGGGAAAACTCCTTACTGTCCCTCACCCATGTTGCTGTTAGTGATGGCCTTTGATGGTTACCTCAGTTGTTCTCTAGCTGTGATTTTATCCATAATATGTTTGGTCGCCATGCCCAGATTGATGATAACGACCCAAATGCTGCGCTGACACGGAGGCGTGTGGATGCAATAAAGAAAACTTGCAAGTCATCCGGCCTGCTGAAGAGAAGGTTTGTTGCATGATTTAGAGATGTACCTTACTGCTGATATCTTCATCCTCGCTGATTGTCTGATTCTACAGGGGTTACGATCTGGAGAAATCAAAGTACAGAATGCCTATGCTGGTGAGTAGTAATATATATAAGCTGATTAATACTGCAAGTTCTCTGTTGTATATTTTTCTCAAGCCGCTTTACGTGTCATCCTCAGATCATGATCATGCTTCTGTTGGTGGCTATTATCTTGGGTGTACTGTATGGCAAGTGATCCGGTCAAGATGGTCCTCTTATGTTCTTAGTGGCACCGCCTCCCCTATGTGGTAGGCTGATCGGTTTCGAGTAACAGCTTGACGATATTTTGTTTGTGCTTAACATTACTGATTGGGAACTGCGTTTGTGTAGGTTTTGCACGTGTACTTCCTGACTGCAGATGGATGGCTGGTTTGCATGTAGTATTGTGCTATGTACCCTGCTGGTGCCATGCATGCTAGTTCTTTTTGTTCTTTGTTTCTGTCGTCCCGTATGTTGTTTCAGCTTGTAATTTGTTTGAATCTAGGAGAGACTTCCTTAGTGACATGTATCCTATGAATTTGGCGTGGCGCCTTGGTTGTCAATGATTCTACATTTTGTTTATTTGTGACGAATGTATGTGATGCATATCGTTTTGCCGTGCCACCTGCGCAACTTGATTATAATTGTCCAACAGGCTTGTCAAACTCCTTATAGTTTTTCTTTTACTTTGCATATAAGTTTGGTCTCAAGTCAAACTTCATATCTTTTTACTCCATGTAAGTCTTGTCTTAAGACAAACTTTGTAAAATTTGAGCAAGATTGTATGAAACAATATCAAATCAATATCGTTAGATGCATCAAGGAATTAATTAATGTATATCCTCGTAAGTGTTGTAGATGTTGATATGTTTAATGTAAACTTGTTTGTACTTTATGAATTTCGACTCGAGATAGTAGTTTACGGTGGTGATTACAAGGGGATTACAGAATGGTGATAAAAAAACGGAGGGAGTACATACACTCTGAACTTGCAAGAGTGGTGATATTGGCTAGCTGGTATAGATCAATCTCTCTCCAGGTAGCAGTTTGCGGTGGGGATTACAGAATGGATCGAAGAACATGCAACTTAGCAGGGGAAGGAGGAAGATAGGAGAAAGAGGTAGTCGCCGCCCGCCAGTAAAGCCGTAATCCACTGGATGCTCTGCTCCTTGTCTGCTCCTTCATACTTTTAGGCCTTTTTTGGTTTGGAGGAATTTCACAGGAATTCCATAGGATAGGATTCTTGTAGGAATTTTGAATTTCAAGTCCTTTGGTTCATAGGAATAGATTCCTATTTCTACATAGGATTTGTTCCTATCCTCCACATTTTATAAGAAAATAAACATGAGCCTAGACCCGATGGAAAAATTCTATGATGTGAACCAAATGACATCCCCTTTTTCAAATCCTGCTCATAGAATTTGAGATACATGTCATCTTATTTCCTACAAATTTTCTATTCCTATGAATTTTTTTGGAGGAATTCTATTCATAATCCTGTCCTATGAACTAAAAAGCCTTAGCTGCAGCGCGGGGTTGCGGACTGGCCAAGTCCATGGGCTGACCCCAAGGGCTAGGAGGCCTCCTGACAAAACTCTGAAGAAGATGACACTCTTAACAAAAAGACACCAACTGAAACAAAGCCTGTGCCAAACTAATGCAGCTCACATAAGGAACATGCTCTGTCTAAAAAAAACATAAAGAACATGCTGTCGAAGACCCTCGTATCCCAAACGACCAGAATGTGAAGGGCGTAAGTTTGTTTCTGCTAACACCTTGATGAGAACTCGAAGATGTAATCCATGAGGGCATGACAATCCGTTGGAAGTGGTATCACCTCAATGTCATCTTTGCCTGGGCCGATAGTCGCGTTGCCCTACCTCCCGTGTTTTCCTAACTAAAGCGATCCTCTTTGCACTCCTACATGCATTAGAATTTTCATATTCTTTATATACCAAGACTCCACACCGTAAGAATACGCAAATTAGGAGCTTCAACGGTTATTGAGCAAACTAAAGAGATCCCGCAGTACCAGCAGATGCATTGGCAAACAGTTTGTTCAACAATGTCTTGCACAGAATTGGACTGTTAACATAGGTTGTAGATGTCGCAGCAATTGCATGAAAATTGGAACAAATCAAGCTTCTTGGTAAATAAAACTAACCAAGTTATCTTTTCGTGATATTCTATAAATAGCGAGTACCCATACATGCGGCCAGGCTATCATCACAACCACAAATATGAATCCAATGACGCCAATTTTATTTGTGAAATGCAAATGTATGTCAAGTACTTTGAAGCGGGGGGAGTAAAATTTTCGACAGGGCAAGCAATCTCAGCATTCCATGACGCAGGCAAGCGGTAGAAGAGTTGAGCAGAAAAGGATCCAATCACTATTTTGCTAATAAAGAAGCAGAAGCGCAACAATGACCACCAACCAACCCACCCAACAATAAACATCATCCAAAAACTACAGCAGCAGCAGCAACAGGAAATTAGCCCACCCGGACTTTGACGCCAGTCGGAAAATAACCAGTACACGGGAAACACAAGTGCGGTGACAACAACCAGCCACAAAATAAGGTAAATGGGGGCAAGGGCACCATACCCACACCACGGTGACTACAAACCCCAATATCTGTTTTCAGCTAAGTCAATAGAATACCATCCATCCATCGGTTTCGTTTCAATTTCTCACCATTACCAGGTGAACCCATCAGTCCCACGAGCTAGACGCGCCTCCACCATAACCTCCACCACCACCGTAACCGCCACCACCGCCGTAGCCACCACCTCCTCCACCGCCGCCGCCCCTCGTGTCGCGACGGAAGTCACGTCCACCAAATCGAGCACCGCCACCACCTCCTGACCTGCGGTTTCTGCCTCCTCCGCCGCCTCCAAACGAGGAACGGGCAGAATAGCGCTCCAGCCACTGAGGAACCTCCTGATTGGCTTCCTGCATCAGTTCGCATAACGGCCTGGCCAGTGACATGTTGCCCTCATTGAAAAATGCAGTTGCCAAACCAGACTTCCCAGCTCTTCCAGTTCTCCCAATGCGGTGAACATAGTCATCTATGTCATTTGGCAGATCAAAATTGATGACGTGGGCGACATCTGGTATGTCAAGCCCACGAGCAGCAACGTCAGTTGCAACCAGGATGGGAGTTGCTCCACTCTTGAAGGATCTCAGCGCATACTCCCTTTCCTGAATAAGACCAAACAAGCACAAGGAAAAATGTGTTAACCTTGCAAAAATAAGACAAATTCAACTTCTCATGTAAAACCAGACAGATATTCAGATGGTGGTAACAGTGCACTGTTTTTAATAAAAAAAAGAATCCATAATCACTTAGATATTGAGGATAGATATTAGCGTCCAGGAAATAAGGGATTTCCATATAATGTTCAGGTAAACACAGCTCTGGCATACCTGTTGTGTACGATCTCCATGAATACTTGTCGCAGGGAACCCATTTGTATACAGCCAGTTCTCCAGAGCATCAGCACCCCTCTTTGTCTCCACGAAGACCAAAGTAAGAGAATTCTGCACACAAGAGAACAGAGGATGATGAGCCCTTAAGAATTTAATGGCACATTAAGAATTGCCACACAAAAGTTAAGAATTAAATGGTGCCGTTACATCATCCTGGTTATCCTTGTTGAAAATGCAGTTGCCAAACTAGACTTCCCAACTAAAAACACTGTTTACAAAACGTATGGTTTGCACTTAACTTGCAATCACCATGTTATGCTCTCCCAATTTTTAAAGCTGTTGTGAAGAAATTTGCAAGTCTATTATCTGTTTGGTTAATCAGGTAAATTATGTCATCCAATTGCCCTCTCACATTAATATATCATGTCTTAAAAAGAAATAAAAAGAAAAAAGATGTTCGCCATGCCCCAAGCAAATTAACCAAACAAGATTACCAGAATGGTTCGCAATAGTAAATGAAACACTAGTCTAGTGATAAGTCCATGAACTACCAGAATCAAAACAATGTAAAGAAAAAAATAGTTAATGAATAGCACCTTTCCAGGAACATCATTAGCCTTCTGCGCATGAATAAGGTCCATGAGGTAACTTCTCTTATCCGCTTCAAGGACAAACTCCACCCTTTGAGCAATCAAATCGGTACTTGAACCAACTCTTCCAACAGCAAGGAAGATGTAGTCTGCAAGGAAATCTGATGCCAGGCGCTGCAGAAACGGAACATTACTGAGAAAAACAAAACAGTAGACAACAAAAAACATAACATTTTCCCTGCCATGTACAAGTAGAAAATTGAACAAATGCACATATGCATTCTCACAATATCAATTTCCCATGTCAGAAAAAGAAATGACGGCGCAAAGTTAATAACTGTGCTATTCAACTTTAAATGTAAAAGAATTAGACAAATATTCATGCATGCAATTTTCTGGTCCATTTACAGCAAAATAGAATAATACATAATCTTGTTTTCTTTTATTAGAGGTCTAATTAACAATGGCAATAAGTAAATTTGCAACTTGAAAACAGTAATTAGGAAGAAAAAACAGCAATATTGATGCCCAGGTTTAAAGGACGATGCATATGAACCGCCCACTACCTCAGCTAGGTTGTCCAACTCATAAGTGATAACACAACATTACACTTGGGGCATATAAGAACATAATTAAAAGCAGGGGGACAAAGAGAACCATACTTGTATCTCCTTTGGAAAAGTAGCACTGAACAGCATGGTCTGTCTCACACCACGAGGGGGCATGTCCATCTGCTCAACAATCTTGCGTATCTGTGGCTCAAACCCCATATCGAGCATCCGGTCAGCTTCATCAAGAGCCAAGTAATTCACCATTTGCAGTGATACTCTAGCTCTCTCCAGCAGATCCATCAAACGACCAGGAGTTGCCACTAGTATATCAACACCTCTTTCCAGTTCTCTCAACTACAATAGAACAAACAAATGCTTAATAGCAGCAGCAAATTCGATTTTACAAGACGGGTTCATTCCAATGGCTGTTTAAGTTATGAGATACTCCCTCCGTAAACTAATATAAGAGCGTTTAGAATATTAAAGTAGTGATCTAAACACTCTTATATTAGTTTATAGAGGGAGTATCTTACTAAGATTAGTGTACATACTACAGCTAAAAACATAAATGCAAGGATCTTTGTTCCCTTCACAATGTATCACTATTTCACTACTTGACAACATGCTGGATACGTAACCATTCTCACAACCTGAATACTTTAAACCTACATGCCATGTTATATAACTTTCTTAAACTACTGAGTCAGTTATGGTACAGTTCTAGGCTTCTAGCACAATGTACATTGCAAGTGTCATGCTATAGACAATTCTTCATAGAATGGGCAGAGAGTGACAGAGTACAAACAACGATCACTTGTTAATTTGTTTACAATACTGTGTGTTATTTTGGTTATCATGAAAATAAACTATAAATCAAAAAAGAAATACCTGCTGATGAATTGGTGCTCCACCATATGCAACACAAGCCTTAACACCAGTCTGGTATGCAAATTTCTTTGCTTCTTCATGAATCTGAGAAACAAAAAAAATATCATATAAGAAACAAAAACAAAATAAACAAGAGCACCCCAAATAAAACCAAAGCAGTCACCTACTTGGACGGATAGCTCGCGAGTAGGAGATAATATCAGAGCAAGAGGAAATGCAGTCCTAGCTCTAGGCCTCTGTGGTGGCCTTGACTTAAGGATCCCACTGATGATCGGGAAACAAAAAGCAGCTGTCTTCCCAGACCCAGTCTGAGCGCAGGCCATCAGATCCCTGCCTCCAATGACAATCGGAATGGCATGCCGCTGCACAGGTGTAGGCCTCACATACTTGCACCTCCGTATATTCTCATTCAGTGCATCACCCAAGTCAATCTCTGCAAACGTGTTGACTGCTGCAGGCACATCGTGGCCACTTGTCTCCACAGGAATGTCCTCATAGGCATCAAAATTGATACCTGTGTTCTGTTGACTCTCAAAGTCAACATCAACAGCCGCCGGCTCACTATCGCCAAAAGGGTTTGGTTCACGGTCCCTGCGGTCCCCCCACCCACCAGGGCGGGAGTTCCAGCCACCACCGCCGCCACCAACAGCACCACGTCCACCACCACCCTGGCGGACAACACCTACGCCAGCGCTAGGAGCACCAGGAGGGGCAGCCCAGCGAGTGCCACCAACAGCGGCTGCGTACCCACCAGCAGGCTGCACAGCACCTGAGGGGTATGCGCCAGCTGGTGTTGGAGCTGCAGCTGGCACTTGGTTCTCTGGTGAGCGGCCACCACCACGGAGGTGAGGAGGGACGTAAGAGCTGCGAGTGGGACGCGAGTTCTGGTGATTGGCAACAGGGGCGGGAGCAGCACCAGTCGCGGGCGCCGATTCCTCGGCGTTCGCAACTGAATCAGCCCATGAAGATCGCATAATTTTGCACAAAACCTTTGATGAAAGTGCTACGGCTGAACGCTAAAACCTGTGAATATCAGGAACAGCTATTCAGTACAAAAAGTAGACCACGACAATATGTTACCAGTAATAAATACAGAATCTGAACAAAAAGAAGTGCTTCAGGTTAGAAATATTTTTGCTTTGGCAAGGTATAAGAGCAGTTATATGATTGTATCAAACACATGTGTAATGCAGATTCAGGTCAAATCCATGATATATGCTAACATATATAAACCGAATCGTAAGTTCAAGCCCAGAAGATACAATAGAATCTACACTAACAAAAGCGGTTCAATTAGGATGGTCCTCTGCGAGACAAGCTACCTAGATTTTGCTCATACGCACTGTAAACTACCAACAAAACCCTAAGCATGAAGCCTCTTAATGTAATCTGCAAGTCTAATACTTACTCCCTATACCTAGAAGCAGAAGCACACACGTCCCAGATTCAAAACAAAAGCTGTACACAGGCGGCACTGTCATACTAGAGTAGATCTACGTACGGAGAGGAAACACGCTAACATAACAAGCAGAGATCTCGTCCAAACACAAAACGCCATCTATGAAAACAGCTAGTAAGATGCCCTGAACGCACCAACCGCACCAAATTGCGGCGGAAATCTCGCATACACAAAGATGAAACGCGGCATGCAAGGTGGGAAACCCCGCTAAGCTTCTAGATCGAACCACTGCGAGAGGGAAACCGGGCGCACTACTGCGCACAGGATTAAGCGGCAGCGGCATGTCGCGCTAAACCTTGGCCGGGAGAAGCGCTTGCCTCGGTTAAGGAAAAATCGAAAACCCTAGGAATCTAGCGGCCCTGCGGCGCCGGAAACCCGCCGACAGCTAGAAAACCCCGAGAACAGCAAGCAGCCTAGCGCGACGGCGAGCCCGGCCAAGCTCCCACGGGAGAACAAAACCACGGGAACTGATTGGATCGGGCGGAGGCGCCGCCCAGATCGGCGCGGGGGAGGAGGAGATCGGGGAGGGGAGCTGACCTGCGGCGAGCGAGCGGGAGGGAGCGGGTCGGAGTCGGCGGGGCTGGGGGCTGCGGGGGGCGGGTGTCGGGAGAAAC